GTTAAAACAAACATAGTAAAATACAATCAATAACAACAAATATTTAAAATATTAAAATCAATTAAGATCATAAGAAGAACTCCCTGGCTGGCCAACAATTTGAAGCTCAGAGTAAGTGCAGTGATTCCTTGGTAGAGGCGTGGGATGGTGCAATAGTCAGGGGGCTATGCATCCTGTAAGGTTTCTATGCATCCTATTTATTAATTAATACATTTATATAATTTCCTCCCTTCCCCAGCACTGGATGCATGCAAACAAACAAGATAATCCTATGTTTTTTTATTAATGCCTGATTAATCTCTCTTTTTAGAGAGATAAAGTGGGGCACACATTATTATTATTATTATTATTATTACCATTATTATTAAGACTTTATCATGAGGAATACCAGAGATATCGATGATCAAGGTATCATTGAGCATTGAAACATAATAGTAGCTTAGTGGGATAGCATATGGTTTATCTGTAGTGTAGACTCAGAAAAAGCCAATGGGATTTTGGCCTGCATCAATAGGAGCATAGTGTCTAGATCTAGGGAAGTAATGCTACCCCTTGGTTAGACCACATCTCGAATATTGTGTCCAATTCTGGGCACCACAATTGAAGAGAGATGTTGACAAGCTGGAATGTGTCCAGAGAAGGGTGACTAAAATGATCAAGGGTCTGGGGAACAAGCCCTATGAGGAGCGGCTTAAGGAGCTGGGCATGTTTAGCCTGAAGAAGAGAAGGCTGAGAGGGGATATGATAGCCATGTATAAATATGTGAGAGGAAGCCACAGGGAGGAGGAAGCAAGCTTGTTTTCTGCTTCCCTGGAGACTAGGAACAATGGCTTCAAACTACAAGAAAGGAGATTCCATCTGAACATGAGGAAGAACTTCCTGACTGTGAGAGCCGTTCAGCAGTGGAACTCTCTGCCCCGGAGTGTGGTGGAGGCTTCTTCTTTGGAGGTTTTTAAACAGAGTCTAGATGGCCATCTGTCAGGGGTGCTTTGAATGCAATATTCCTGCTTCTTGGAAGGGGGTTGGACTGGATGGCCCATGAGGTCTCTTCCAACTCTATGATTATATGAATCCAGTTCAAAGCAAATAATGTGAATCATCTGCTTCAGTATTCTGGATTTTATAGCAATGTAGAAAAGCCCTTCGGCTGGATCTACACTGGGACTGTGGCGCAGCTGGCTGAGTGTCAGCTGCATTAAGATCACTCTGACCAGGTTATGAGTTCGAAGCCAGCCCAGGTCGGAGTGAGCTTCCGGCCAATTTTGTGTAGCTTGTTGTCGACCTTTGCAACCCGAAAGACAGTTGCATCTGTCAAGTAGGAAAATTAGGTACCACCTATGTGTGAAGAGGCTAATTAACTAATTTATGAGGCCATAGAAAGACTCCAGCAAAAAGCACTCCAGCAAAGCATGCGGGGAATACGGAAGTACTTCAGTGTCGCAGATGGGCAATGAAAGCGACAGCTCCCCTGGCGGCCAGAAAAAGTTAAATAGCCTCTGTGTATGTCTATACACGTTGTATGTCTAATTGGCATTGAATGTTTGCCATATATGTGTACATTGTAATCCGCCCTGAGTCCCCTGCGGGGTGAGAAGGGCGGAATATAAATGCTGTAAATAAATAAAATAATAAATATAATCCATTTTCTGAATCCAGATTATCTGCTTTGAACTGGGTTATATGTCTACACTGCCATATACTCCAGTTCAAAGCAGATAATCTGGATTTTATGTGGCAGTGTAGATCCAGCCTTATACGTCAACTCCCTAGAAGCTTCAGGCCCCTTCTAAGATGCCATATAATCCAGATTATCAAAGCAGATAATCCACATTGTAGCAGCAGATAGGAGAGATAATACCAAGAGCGATCCTTTCTGGGAGACAGAAAAGAGTATTTATGGTCAGCAGAGACCCTGGGATGGAATTACATCCAAAAGCCAACCATAGTAAGGATAAAGGCATTGTCTTTCCCTTTTATACATCTTCAAATGCAGGCAAACAAAGAAACATGCTTCTACATACGTTAACATCATCACTACGTCACCTTAAGCATCATAGTAATATCAAATTCTATCTTCCACCATGCAAAAGGCATGTCTCTATATTTTTTTCTAAGAGCAGTTTACAGCTTACACCGATCCATCAAGGGGCCTACTTTGACCTGTCAGGATGGAGAGAGATTCCTTACTTAGAAGTAAGAAGGTATGGCCTGAGTTAAGCTGTACTAGTCTCTGTATAGATAACATGCCCCCCTTCTCCTCCCCCTTTCTACACAGATCTCCTTCAGCATTCTTTCTGCCCTGTTAGCTTGGCTTCCTAATACAGAGAGAACCTGATTTTTTTCTATATATCAGTGCTTGTAATGTACATACAATATATGTATAAATATCTATATTTCCAATATCTCCCCATCTGCTTTGAACTGGATACACTGTCATATAATCCAGTTTGATGCAGATAATCTAGATCAGTGTATCTCAACCTTCCTAATGTCGCGACCCCTTAATAACAATCCTCATGTTGTGGTGACCCCCAACCATAACATTATTTTCATTGCTACTTCATAACTGGAATTTTGCTACTGTTATGGATCATCATGTAAGTATCTGATATGCAGGATGTATTTTCATTCACTGGACCATATTTGGCACAAATACCCAATACGCCCAAATTTGAATACTGGTGTAGTTTGGGGGGGGGGGGGTGATTTTGTCATTTGGGAGTTGTAGCTGCTGGGATTTATAGTTCACCTACAATCAACAATGGAATTGAACTAAATTTGGCACACAGAACTCTCATGACCAACAGAAAATACTGGAAGGATTTGGTGGGCATTGACCTTGAGTTTTGGAGTTGTGATGGATACAGGTAGTTTACTCAAACAATGATGGATGTGGACCAAACTTGGCACGAATGCTCAATATGCCCAAATGTGAACACTGGTGGTGTTTGGGAAAAATAGACCTTGACATTGGGAATTGTAGTGGCTGGGATTTATAGTTAACCTACAATCAAAGAGCATCCCGAGCTCTGAGGATCACCTGGGAAGGAATCCCACGGGAGCATTGCAATGCACCCAAATACCTGGGAGTCACTCTGGACCGTGCTCTTACATTCAAGAAGCACTGCCTGAACATCAAGCAAAAAGTGGGTGCTAGAAACAATATCATACAAAAGCTGACTGGCACAACCTGGGGATCACAACCAGACACAGTGAAGACATCTGCCATTGCGCTATGCTACTCTACTGCTGAGTACGCATGCCCAGTGTGGAACACATCTCACCACACTAAAACAGTAGATGTGGCTCTTAATGAGACATGCCGCATTATCACAGGGCGTCTGCGCCCTACACCACTGGAGAAACTACACTGTTTAGCCAGTATTGCACCACCTGACATCCGCCGGGAAGTAGCAGCCAATAGTGAAAGGACCAAGGCAGAGACATCTCCAGCTCATCCCCTGTTTGGGTATTAGCCAGCTCGTCAATGACTTAAATCAAGAAATAGTTTTCTAATATCTACAGAGACACTCGCTGAAACACCTCAGCAAGCGAGAGTCCAAAAGTGGCAGGCTCAAACCCAGAACCTCAATCAATGCCTATTATTATTATTATTATTATTATTATTATTATTATTATTATCTTTATTTGTACCCCGCTAGCATCTCCCGAAGGACTCGATGCAGCTTACAAGGGCCAAGGCCTCAAAACATAGCATAACAATACACAACCTAGAGCAAATCAAAAACAGTTAAAGCAATATTAAAACAACAACAATAAAACAATACACTAAGACACAATAAAACTGGGCCGGGCCAGAGTAATGGGTACAGAATTAAAACTGCTGATGTGACAGGTGATATGTATGATTATAGGGTAAGTGCAGTGTGCCGGCAATCTTAATTTCTACTAAAGTGCTTCTGGGACTTGTTGTTGGAGTTTTCCTATTCTGGAAAGGCACATCGGAACATGTCTTCAAGTTCTTCCTAAAGACTGCCAACGTAGGGGCCTGTCTAAGATCTTTGGGGAGGGTGTTCCAGAGTTGGGGGGCCACCACAGAAAAGGCCCTGTCTCGCGTCCCCACCAAACGCGCCTGCGACGCAGGCGGAATCGTGAACAGGGCCTCTCCAGATGAACGAAGTGAATGCATGGGTGCATAAACCCACGCGTAATACCAAATGAGAGACTCCCCCCTGGGCACACAGAAGACTGGGCGACTTGGAAGGCTCTGAACAGACTGCGCTCTGGCACCACAAGATGCAGAGCCAACCTCCAGAAATGGGCCTACAAAGTGGAATCCTCGACATGCAAGTGTGGAGAAGAGCAAACCACTGACCACCTGCTGCAATGCAACCTGAGCCCTGCCACATGCACAATGGAGGACCTTCTCGCAGCAACACCAGAAGCACTCCAAGTGGCCAGGACATTTAATCAACTACCAAACTCGCAAATTTTGTATTTTGTCTGTTTGTTTGTTTTGTTCTGTTAGAAATGTAATACAATTGACTGGTTGCCCTGACAAGACAAATTAAATAAAAATCAAAGAGCACCCTGAACCCAGCCCACAATGGATCTGCACCAAACTTGGCACACTACCTACATGGCCAACACTGAATACTGGTGAGAATTGGGGATGCTGTTTTTGAATTTTGGGAGTTGTAGTTCACTAACACCAAAAAGGAAGAGGATAGATGGAGAGATCTTAAGCCTTCTCTGCCAAATGGTTCCTAAGACTATCAGAAATATGTGTTTTCTGATGGTCTTTGGCGACCTTCTGAAACTCCCTCGAGACCCCCCCCCCCAGGGGTACCGACCCCCAGGTTGAGAAACACTGATCTAGATGTTATATGGCAGTGTATAAAGGGCCTCAGTTGCCTTGACCAATGATCAGGGATTCTGGGAGCTGAAGTCCAGAATACCTGGAAATCAAAGTTTACGTACTTGGCTCATTGTTTGCTGATTGTCCAAAAGCAAGGAGTTCAGAGAACAAAACCAAATACCTGCAGGATGAGGATGAAGTAGTCGGCTGTCTTATTCCTTTGGTATAGGAAATGGTGGGGGGCATCCTTGTTCCCTTCATCAAACTTCAGCTCACAGATGACATCTCGGTGTTTCAGGAGGCACAGCAGGCATTTCTCAGTGATGATGTTTGGGTAGAACCATTGCACCTCTGTGTCAGGAGAAGAGGGACCAAAATGGTACATCAAACCATTGCTGTGGCCAACCTTCCCTCCCTCTTTCTCTCCTTCCTTTCCTCTACTTCTTTCCCTTCCTATTTATCTTCTTCTTTCTCCCATCTCTACCTGTTTCTTTCCTCCATTTCTTTGCTCTTTGGTTACATCCTTCCTTCTTTCCCTTTCACTTTTTTATTTCCTTCTCTCCTTCCTTGTTTCTCTCCCTTTCTTTCCTTCCTTCCTTCTTTTCCTCCCTCCTTCCCCCTTTCCCTCCTTCATTCCTGCCCTCTTTCCCTCCTTCTCTCATTACTTCTTGACAGTCCCTTCCAACTCTATTCTGTATGTCTATTTAATTTGTATTATATCTATATATATAAAAATGTTCTGTGCATAATGAGTACCTTAAAAACAAAAGAACCAAGGAACGAAAGCACACCAAATTTGGCAACAAAACATCTCACTACACAAGGAGTGACCATCACTCAAAAAATTATGATTTTGTCATTTGGGAGTTGTAGTTCCTGGGATTTATAGTTCACCTACAATCAAAGAGCATTCTGAACTCCACCAATGATGGAATTGAACCAAACTTGGCACACAGGACTTCCCTGACGAACAGAAAACACTAGAAGGGTTTGGTGGGCATTGATCTTGAGTTTGGGAGTTGTAGTTCACCTACATAGAGAGAGCACCGTGGACTCAAACAATGATGGATCTGGACCACACTTGGCATGAATATTCCATATGCCCAAATAGTAACACAGATGGAGTTTGGGGGAAATAGACCTTGGCATTTGGGAGTTGTAGTTACTGGGATTTATAGTTCACCTACAATCAAAGACCATTCTGAATGAGCCCCATGAATGACAGAACTGGGGCAAACTTCCCACACAGAACCCCCATGACCAAGAGAATATACTTAAGGCCATCCATTCCAACTCCCTTCAGCAGGGCAAGAAAATGTAATCAAAGCCCTCCAAACAGCCATCCAGCCATAGATATAGATAGATAGATAGATAGATAGATAGATAGATAGATAGATAGATATGGTTCACACACACACAGATATCGTATCATAGATTTGAAAGGGATCCCTAAAGAAGGACAATTATATGTTGCATGTTCCAGAGTAGGCAAACCAGACAATCTCTACGTCAACACTGTCAAAGAAACATCAAGAAATACTGTTTACCCACAAGCGTAAAGATATTACATATATTAGAAACCAACACTTTCTCATTACTTTATTTTCCAGATCAACAAACTGGGCCACAGCAACGCGTGGCAGGGGACAGCTAGTAGTAATATATAATAGTAACATATTATATAGTAATGTATATAACAATATATAAAATATTGTTTTTATATCTTACATAGAAGGAAGGAAGGAAAGGAAGAAGGAAGGAAGGAAGGAAGGAAGGAAGGAAGGAAGGAAGGAAGGAAGGAGGGAGGGAGGGAGGAGGAAAGGGAGAGGAAAGGGAAAGAGGAAGAAGGAAGGAAGGAAAGGAAGGGAAGGAAGGAAAAAGGAAGGAAGGAAGGAGAGGAAGGAAGGAAGGAAGGAAGGAAAAGGAAGGAGGGAAAGAAAGGAGGGGGATGAAGAAGGAGAGAGTGGAAGGAAAAGAAGGAAAGGAAAGGAAAGGAAAGGAAGGAGGGACAGGATGGAAAGGAAGGAAGGAAAGAAGGAAAGGAAGGAGGGAGGGACAGGAAGGAGGGGAAGGAAAGGAAGGGAAGGAAGGAAGAAAAGGGGGGAGGAAAGAAGGGAAGGGAGTGAGGGAGAGAAGGAGTGTGGCAGAGGGAGCTACCTCCCGGTCTGGATGTTAATAGAAGAGAGAGAGAGAGAGTTAAATGTGTGCTTGTGTTGCCGGAGACAGATCTACAGAAATGAGAGAGAAGGAGAGGGAGGAAAGAAAGAAGGAGTTGGAGGAGGAAGAAGGGAGCAGGACGCAGAGGAATGGGAGAATTCAAAAATAAAACTTGTTTCTGCCTCTTTCTTTCCTCCTTCCTGCAGTGAAGGGAGGGAGGCAAGGAAGAGTTGGTGAAGAAGGCAACAGTCTCTCTCTCCCCTCCTCCCTCCTGCCCGCTGCTTCCACCGGGGCATCTTGGAGGAAGAAGAGGCGACAAAAGGGAGGGGGGGGGCCGCCAAGAGGAAAAGGCTGCTGCTTCTGCTGACAAAGGAGGTACTTAGGAGCCCATCCACCATCTTCCTCCTCTTCTTCCTCACTCCTAAAGCGGTGGTGGTGCGGTTTCAGATGAGGAAGGAGAGGAAGTGGAGGAGGACAGTGGGTAGACTCCTAAAGTCCCTCCCCCACCAGCCGACCTTCCTTGCGCTTCCTTCCTTGCGCTGCCGACCTTCCTTGACCTTCCTTGGGTTTCTTTGTGCGTAATGCAGTTTCTCCTTTGTGAACATGTAGTTCAGAAGTCCTTTCTGCTTTCTGTTTTCGTGGGGTTTTTTGAGTGGAGAACATACATTGGGTTGTTAGGTGTCTTGTGTCCAAATTTGGTGTCAATTGGTCCAGGGGTTTTTGAGTTCTGTGAATAGCAGAAACGAACATTACGTTTTTATTTATATAGATCAATGGTGTATTTTATATTGTATTTAATAATCTGGTTTTCATGTATTTATTTGTTTGCTTTACATGAGAAATACCTGTGGTCTGAGCATTGAATAAACTTGCACTTGAACTATTATTATCTATATATATAAAAATGGAAAGGGTGTTCAACGGGACAGCAAAACGCGAAAAAAACCCCAACGAAACTCACCAAATTTGCCGTGCACATACCTCAACCCACAAGGTATGCACAACACTCATCAAAATTCCAAACAACATTTCAACAAACTCACAATTACAAAAACCAACTGAGCATGCGCAGTGCCCAGGGGAGGAAGTACACACACAATGCACTCTGGGAACTGTAGTTCTAGAACGCGGCCTACCCGCTGACGCTGAAGCCCCGGCCTGGGAGTTGGAGCTCGGCCGGCTGTGCTCGCTGGGGGCCAGGATGCTGCGCGACCTGCGGAGGCTGCCCGGGAGGCCCCCGCTGCGCGCCTTCCTGGCCCGGCCGGGAGAGGCCGCGGCCCAGCTCTGCCGAGGACAGCCCATCGGCCACCGCAACGCCCGGCCCAGGCCGCCCCCGCACACCGCCGTCTGGCTCCGCCATCGGTGAGGAAGGGGAAGGAGGGAAGGAAGCGGGAGAGGGAAGGAAGGACGGAAATGAGGGGAAGGGGTGTAAATAGCAAGGAAGGAAGAAGGAAAGAAAGAAGAAAAGTGGGAAGGGGAAGGGAAGGTGTAGGAAGGAAGGAAGGAAGGAAGGAGAAGTTGAGAAGGTATATGAAACAAGAAAGGAAGAAAAGAAAGAAGAAAGGGAGAGAAGGAGGATGGGAAAGAAGGGAGAAAGGAAGGAAGGAAGGACGGAGGAAGGAAGGAAGGAAGGAAGGAAGGAGGAAGAAAGGAGGGAAGGTGTATGAAGGAAGTAAGGAAGGAGAAGTTGAGAAGGTATATGAAAGAAGAAAGGAAGAAAGAAAGAAGAAAGGGAGAGAAGGAGGATGGGAAAGAACGGAGAAAGGAAGGAAGGAAAGAAAGGAAGGAAGGGAGGGAGGGAAGGTGTATGAAGGAAGGAAGGAGAAGTTGAGAAGGTATATGAAAGAAGAAAGGTAGGAAAGAAAGAATAAAGAGAGAGAAGGAGGATGGGAAAGAAGGGAGAAAGGAAGGAAGGAGGAAAGGAAAGAAAGATAGAAAAAAAGAAGAAGGGAAGGAGGAAGGGAGGAAGGAAGGAGGAAGGAAGGAAGGAAGGAAGGAAGGGGAATTTGGGAAGGGGAAGAGAGGAAAAAGAAAGGAAGAAGAGAAAGGGAGGGAAGAAAAGAAAGAAGAAAAGGAAGTCTGGAAGTCAAGAGCGAAAGGAAGGAAAGAGACAGAGAGGGAAGAAAGGAGAGAAAGAGGAAGGAAAAAAAAGGAGGAGGAAGGAAAGAGGAAAGAAGGAAGGAGGAGAGAAGGAAAGAAAAAGGGAAGAGGAAAGAAGAGAAAGGAAGAAGGAAGAAGGAGAGAAAGAGGGAGGGAAAGAAAAAATAAAGAGAAGGAAGGATGGGAGCAAAAAGCTAAGGAAGGAAGTAAACAGGTAGAGAAGGAAGAAAAGAAAGAAGAAAAGGAAATGAAGGAAAGAGTGAAAGAAGGGGAGAAAGAGGGAGAGAAGGTTGGCCACAGCAACGTGTGGTGGGTAAAGCTAGTTATTATTATTATTATTATTATTATTATTATTATTATTTGAAACAAAATAAAGCCTGACTGCTCATTGGAGGGAAGGATACTAGAGACAAAGTTGAAGTACTTTGGCCACATCATGAGGAGACAGCAAAGCCTAGAGAAGACAATTATGCTGGGGAAAGTGGAAGGAAAAAGGAAGAGGGGCCGACCAAGGGCAAGATGGATGGATGGCATCCTTGAAGTGACTGGACTGACCTTGAAGGAGCTGGGGGTGGTGACGGCCGACAGGGAGCTATGGCGTGGGCTGATCCATGAGGTCACGAAGAGTCGGAGACGACTGAACGAATGAACAACATTATTTGAAACACAACAAGATTAGTACTTAGCGTTATTATTATATTATTATTTGAAGCATCATTGTAAGGTGGTAATAATGATAGCTTTGGCCAGAGCATACATGCACTTTTAGTAAATTTTAGTAAATTAGCATAGAGCTTTGACCTTACAGGTGTATTGATTCAATACATGTAAGTTAGGCTCACAACAAAAATTTGATTATATTTAATTATAGGAATATTTTCATTCTAAAAAAACCCCCTCTAGAATACCCCCACCCAACATTTTCTGATTCAAACATAAAGTTTGGCTTCATCTATCTATCCACTAGTTGGGGTGCTACCTGAAACAGACCCCCTTCTTCTGCTGGATGACAGGAACCACCATGCAATAAGTTACCCGGCACATTGGCAGCCTTGCCCATGCCAGGTAGTCTTTGGCAACTAGAGGGCTCATACCTGTGGAGAGAAAGCGATGGGCAGCCAGGAGGAGCTGCGGGGAGATCTTTGCTTCATTGCCAACAGCCCTGAAGGCAGAGAAGTCCCACCTCCTTGTTTGGGTGGCTCTTCTTTTGCTACGAGTCTCAGCTACAAAGGAGGAAGGTGAAGGAAAGGTTATTCTGTCATAGTTGCCATGCAATAGTTGTTTCCAGTCTATAGACACCCTAAGGCAGGGCTGCCAAACTAATTTTCATCGCTGTCCACCTTGTGGCTGCCTTCGAAGGACCATTGAATCCATCAACAGAGCATCTATGCATACAGAGGTATAACTACAATATATATACTTGAGTATAAGCCAATTTTTTCAGCCCTTTTTCAGCTCCCCTTGGCTTATACTCGAGTCAAAGTTATTTATCATTTTATTCTGTTATTATGATTACTATTACATTTATCATTTTACTCTGTTATTATTATTATTATTATTATTATTATTATTATTATTACATTTACACTATTTTACTCTATTATTATTACATTTATTATTTTACTCTATTTATTATTGTTATTATTACATTTATTATTACATTTATTATTTTACTTTATTATTATTCGAATCATAGAATCATAGAGTTGGAAGAGACCTCATGGGCCATCTAGTCCATTCCCCTGCCAAGAAGCAGGAAAATTGCATTCAAAGCACCCCCGATAGATGGTCATCCAGCCTCTGTTTAAAAGCCTCCAAAGAAGGAGCCTCCACCACACTCCGGGGCAGAGGGTTCCACTGCTGAACAAGCGTCTTGAGCTCTGAGAATTACCTGGGAAAGAATCCCACTGGAGCATTGCAGTGCACCCAAAGACCTGGGAGTCACTCTAGACCGTACTCTGACCTACAAGAAGCACTGCCTGAATATCAAGCAAAAAGGAGGCACTAGAAACAATATCATGCAATAGCTGACTGGCACAACCTGGGGATCACAACCAGACACAGTGAAGACATCTGTCCTTGTGCTATGCTACTCTGCTGCTGAGTATGGAACACATCTCACCACGCTAAAACAGTAGATGTGGCTAAAAAAAGTTGAGGGAAACTGCTATGACAGAGGCATCCAAAACTCATCCGACAGATGACAAAATGTGTTAACGGCAGTCAACTTGAAGGACTGATAACAAAATGTGTTGAACCAAATGGTGACTATGTGGAAAAATAATGTAATACATATGCTACAATCCATGTAAGTTTGATTAGAATCAGAGAATCAAAGAGTTGGAAGAGACCTCATGGGCCATCCAGCCCAACCCCTTGCCAAGAAGCAGGAATATTGCATTCAAACCACCCCTGACAGATGGCCATCCAGCCTCTGTTTAAAAGCCTCCAAAGAAGGAGCCTCCACCACACTCTGGGGCAGAGGGTTCCACTGCTGAACAGTTCTCATAGTCAGGAAGTTCTTCCTCATGTTCAGATGGAATCTCCTTCCTTGTAGTTAGAAGCCATTGTTCCACGTCCTAGTTTCCAGGGCAGCAGAAAACGAGCTTGCTCCCTCCTCTCTATGACTTCCTCTCACATACTTATACATTGCTGTCATATTTCCTCTCAGCCTTCTCTCCTGCAGGCTAAACAAGCCTAGCAATTTAAGCCGCTCCTCATAGGGCTTGTTCTCCAGACCCTTGATCATTTTAGTTGCCCTCCTCTGGACACATTCCTGCTTGTCAACATCTCCCTTCAATTGTGGTGCCCAGAATTGGACACAGTATTCCAGGTGTGGTCTAACCAAGTCAGAATAGAGGGGTAGCATTACTTCCCTAGATCTAGACACTATACTCCTATTGATGCAGGCCAAAATCCCATTGGCTTTTTTTGCCGCCGCATCACACTGTTGGCTCATGTTTGACTTGTTGTCCATGAGGACTCCCAGATCTTTTTCACACATGCTGCTTTTGAGCCATGCCATAATAATATTATTATTAATTTTATTTTACTCGATTTATTATTATTACGGTACATTATTATTTTACTCTATTATTACTGTAATTGTTACATTTCCATTATTTTAATCTATTATAATTGTTATTATTACATTTATTGTTTTACTCTATTTATAATTATTATTACATTTATTATTATTGCATGTATTATTTTCCTTTATTGTTGTTGTTATTATTATTACATTTATTATTTTACTCTATTTTTATTACATTTATTATTGTGCTCTATTATTACTGTTATTATTACCTTCCCATTATTTTACTGCATTATTATTTTTATTACATGTATTATTTTACCCTATTATTATTGGAGGAATACGTAAGCACATTTACATTGAAGAAGGTTAGAATAATGGTTTAAGAAGAGTTGGAGAGTCTTATCTTAAATTACACTTTTATGTAAATATTCAAAAACATTTAAACTACTGATGACTCAATTAATGTAATTTTATTGATATCTATTTTTATTTTGAAATTTACCAGTAGCTGCTGCATTTCCCACCCTCGGATTATACTCGAGTCAATACGTTTTCCCGTTTTCCTCTTGTATTCGGGTCGGCTTATACTTGAGCATATACGGTATATATTTTTCACATTGTGATCGCTGCTCTTTAGTTTTTACCGAATTTGGGTCCCCAGATGTTATTGAATGACAACCTCCATCGTTTTGGATTATCTGACATGTGAACTGTGGATAATGGGAACTGCAGCTCAACTGAACTTGTCGCTCTGAGCATAGGGACAGGTTAAAGGACATTTTAAAGTCAAATATATCCACAAGCCTTGGATATAAATCCAAACCCGATTATATTGACTCAACGGAACTAGTTGCAGTCTTCCAGATGTTACTGTATCCCATCTCCCATCAGCTCTAGTCGTGATGTCTAATGAGGAATATAGGAGTTGTGATCCAGCATCTGAAGGGTCATGTAAAATTACATGCTCAAACCATGTAATTTGAGCATGCTGTGACAATCACATAACGTATCTTAAAGAACGTGCCCTTCCTTTCTCTCTCTCTCTCTCTCTCTGAACCCTTCTACACTGCCATATAAAATCCAGATTATCTGATTTGAACTGGATTATATGGTAGTGTGGACTCATATAATCCAGTTCAAAGCAAATAATGTAGATTGTCTGCTTTGATAATGTGGATTATATGGCATCAGGCCCGTAGCCAGGATTTCGTTTCGGGGGGGGGGGCTGAATTTTTTTCAGGGGGGGTTCGGGGGGCTGAGTTTCGGGGGGGGGGCTGAGTCTGAGTGAAAGAGGGTCTAGCCTAGCAAACCTTTTGTATCATTACCCCAAAACCCCCATGCATATGGGATATATTGAGTATGGTGATCAGATCATGATATGAATAAACATAACCGTTTAAATAATGCACCAGTAAGGCCTTTTTGCGAACCATCATGAGAATTTGGGGGGGGGGGCTGAAGCCCCTCAAGCCCCCCCCCTCCCCCCCGGCTACATGCCTGTATGGCATTAAAGAAAGGGCCTCTGCCTCTCCTACACATACAGAAGGAGAGGAGGAAATGAGGGGTTCACTTAACCGGAGATGTCTGATTCATCCAGGATTTCTGACATGATGATCTCTTCAATGATATCCTCCAGCGTCACCACACCCATCACTTCATGCTCGCCTTCGACATCGGTCGCCTTTTGGACAATGGCCAGGTGGGATTTACCTTTGAGACAGAGTTCAATTATGTTACGATGGTCAGGGTCTCACCAAATGATATTTTTAAAGATTTTTTAATGGAATACATTTCATGGCTTGAAGCATTATGTTCAATAAATAATACGCATATGCCTTATCATTGAGGCATCAGTAAGTCTATCATCTCTGGACACTTACTCATCTCTGGACCCAGAGTCCTCCGGTGAATTATTGTACTGCTTTCTGTATCCTCAATATCACTAGTTCTCAACCTTCCTAATGCCACGACCCCTTAATACAGTTCCTCAGGTTGTGGTGACCCCCAACTATAACATTATTTTCATTGCTACTTCATAACTGTAATTTAGCTACTGTTATGAGTTGTAATGAAAATTTATGATATGCAGGATATATTTTCATTCAATGGACCAAATTTGGCACAAATACCCAGTATGCCCACATTTGAATATTGGTGGGGATTGATTTTGTCATTTGGGAATTTTAGTTGCTGGGATTTGTAGTTCACCTACAATCAAAGAGCATTCTTTTTTTTCCTTTTTTTTTCTTTTAATTTTGAAACTTTAATATTAATACTTTATTGGGGAAAAAACAGAATATCAACAGCTTGACTTTATCCAGACTATGGTTTCTGTAATTGAATAGCAACTGCAAGATTGATATAGTTGAAATAAGCAAGTATTTTGCCTACAATTCTGTTGGCAAAACCAATTAGCACCCACCCAATTAGCACACATTATGGGAAATATCTCAAACAAATGCTGGCACAAGTGTGGGGGGATAGGTACATTCTCCCACATGTGGTGGGATTGTATCAAAATTCAGAACTATTATGGCATAATAAGGACTGTAATGGAAAACATAATAGGGAAAGAATTAAGGTGGGATAAAGCCAGGTTCATGCCCCTCACCATAAATGCAAAGAAAGATAACAATAATTAGACAGAAATCCTAAAATATATGACAGTTGCAATACAGGCCACAATAGCCCGGGGATGGAGAGACGATACAAAATGGGGTTTGGAAACCTGGTGGGCCTATCTATCAGAATATATAATTAATGATTTTATCAATCAAAGGAAAAACAAGTATATATTTAGTCAAAGAGAACAAGACTGGTTTAGGAAATGGTCTGTGTTAATTGACAAAATAGACCGAGACGACAAATACAGTATTTTGAACCAGGCTTTCCACACAGTTAAACTGATGTAATGACATGATTTAGAATTGCTGTTCCGGGGGGGGGGGGGGGGGGGGGAGGGGGGTTTGTTGGGTGATACATAACTAAGGAATGTATAGAATGTCAGTTAAGGAATATTTACTCTTGGAATAATGTTTATTGAAATAAGCCCTGTATGGTAAAAATTTTATTGTTTGTTGGGATGTATCAAAATAAAATAAATAATAATAATAATCAAAGAGCGTTCTGAACTCCACCAATGATGGAATTGAACCAAACTTGGCACACAGAACTTCCCATGACCAACAGAAAATAGTGGAAGGGTTTGATGGCATTGATCTTGAGTTTTGGAGTGGTAGTTCACCTACATCCAGAGAGCACTGTGGACTCAAACAATGATGGATCTGGACCAAACTTGGCATGAATACTTAATATTCCGAAATGTGAACACTCGTAGTGTGTGGGGGAAATAGACCTTGACTCTTCAGAGTTGTAGTTGCTGGGATTTATAGTTCACCTACAATCAAAGAGCATTCTGAACCCCACTAATGATAGAATTGGGCCAAACCTCCCATACAGAACCCCCATGACCAACAGAAAATACTGTGTTTTCTGATGGTCTTTGGTGAACCATCTCACACCCCCTCATGACCCCCAGGTTGAGAAATGCTGCTCAATAGAAAGATTTAAACTCACTTCCTATCCCTGAGACAACAGGAAGTGAGAGAAATTGACCCCTCAGAAAGGAAATTCACTCCTAGAAGATCTATTATGGGGGAAAGTTGTCTCCACTGAAGCTTTCTCACCAATTCTTGTTTCCATGAGAACGCAATCTTTTCAAAATCCAATTGTCACAGGGACAGAAAGTAAGGTGAAATCTTCTGAACCTTGGCAGCCACCTCTTCACAAAAGTCAACATTAACACTGAAATACAACACCACCTGATCTCTGCGAGTGCAGCATTCATCTGAATGAAGCAGAGAGTGTTTGAAGATTGGGACATCCTTAGGGAGACCAAGGTGCTTGTTTACAAAGCTATTGTCCTCCCAACCCTGTTAAACGCCTGTGAAACGTGGACCGTCTACAGATGTCACATGCAACTCCTGGAACGATTTCATCAGTGTTGCCTTCAGAAAATCCTGCAAATCTCTTGGGAAGACAGGCGGACAAATGTCAGCGCACTGGAAGAAGCAAAGACGACTAGCATTGAAAGGATAATCCTCCATCATCAACTCCGCTGGACTGGCCACATAATCCAAATGCCCGGCCACCATCTCCCAAAGCAGTTACTCTATTCCCAACTCAAGAACAGAAAACAGAATGTTGGTGGACAGGAAAAGATATTTAAAGATTGGCTTAAAGTTAACCTTAAAAACTGTGGCATAGACACTGAGAACTGGGAAGCCCTGGCCAATAATGATAATGATAATGATAATAATAATAGCAATAACAACAACTACTACTACTTTATTTTTGTATCCTGCCTGTTCCGTCTCCTTGCATTGCTTTTTTAGTTGCTTGGAGTAGCTGCCCCTTGCCTTTCTCCCAGGAGCTGCTGCAGCCTTGCAAAGCCTGGAGTTTAACAGCCAGTCTTTGCAATGATTGGCCTAGGGAGCAGCTCTTTGAGCCCGCCCCTGCTCCCGGGGAAAGACTTCCATTTTGGAGTCCTCCCTGTCTGTTCAGTTCTGAAGATGGAATCTGATATGCTGGTGGCCAGACAGGTAGTTCCGACAAACCACTGTAAAAACTATTGAGAACTATTGAGAATTGAGAAATTAAGATAGACAGAGAAGTTTATTGAAAAGAATTGAGCTATAGTTAGATAGATTATAAGAGAGTTATAGACAGGGGCGGCTCGTCCATTACGCGAAGTAAGCGGTCGCAGAACACTTTTTTTGCCAGGGGCGCAGAGGCGCCTCTGTAAATGCCCCTCGACCGCCACTTGAGGAGCGCCCCCTCAGCTCACAACAGCCCTAGCAGTCCGGGGGGAGCCTCGGCTTTCTTGCCTCGCTGCCGGGCGATCCTCTTCCCAACGGGGCCGGGCCCTTGAGCCTCGCCTAGCCCCTCTCGTTCCTGCTCCACCCGGCCACCGGGTGCGCGAGCAGAGCCGGCGCTCAATCGTTCTCCGCGTTCGATCCCTTCCCCATGACCGGCTCCCTTTCCCGATCCCCCAGCACTCCACCCGCCTCCTCTCCTCTCCCCAATCCGCGAGTGGGCCAGGGGGCAGAGCCGCCGCGTCTGGCCCGCTTCGGGTCCGGAGGCACGTCTGAAGACCCCCGCATGCGCACCAAAAGTCGCCTCTTCTCCTGACTTTCTCTTCAGCCATTGGGACCAAGAGAGAGAGCCCCTCCGGCTGGAGGTATCTCCCACCTCCGCTCCCTCCTTTGTTTTTGCGCCTACCTTCAGGAAAGGTGGGCATCTCCACCTCTCTCTCTCTCTCTCTCTCTCAGTCCCAATGGCTGAGGAGAAAGTCAGGAGAAGAGGTGACTTTTGGTGCACACGGGGTCTTCAGGCATGCCTCCAGACCCAAAGCGGGCCAGGCAAGGGAGCAATGCGGCAAGTGTAGTTACTGGGATGTATAGTTCACCTACAATCAAAGAGCATTCTGAACTCCACCAATGATGGAATTGAACCAAATATGGCACACAGAACTCCCACGACGAACAGAAAATATATATCAATGATTGGTTGGGGGGGGGCCAAAATACTGTTTGATTACCTTTGAAAATTACCTAGGGCCACCTCTGGTTATAGAGTATAAAGAAAAATAGATATTGAGCTTTGAGAATTGAGTTTTATAGAGTCTTATAGAGAGAGAGACTGCATTGCCTTATCTCCAAGGCTAATCTGGGCTTAGATAGATAGGGAAAGATTTGTTCTTTCTAAAAGACAACAGCTCTGGATTAGGGTGAAGGATCCCTGGATCCCTTTGCCACTTGGGGAAAGGCTGACTCAGTAACTGGTGGAGAAGAGAAAGAAGAAATATCTATTTGGTTTATCAATTGACTGTTCTGTTTGCAACTTTGAGAAATAAATATCCTTTTTGATGTTCAGAACTTGTAATAGACTCAGTTGCTGAGAATCTCAATCTTCTCAAGAAAAGCACCGGCAGTTTGCCCAGACATAGGGAACAGCACATCATAGCTTTGTTTTTAAAAGCATCTGGTTGTAACGGCACATTGCCACTATCTCCCCAAAGAGACTGAGGGTGGCTTACATGGGGACCAAGCCCAGTCAAACAGAGTTAAACTATAACACAATCAAATACATATACAAAACACCATAAAAACATAAACCATCAATCAACAACCAGTAGCCAAGCACAGTGTACATGTTCAGAACTAAAGGGGGAGGCAAGGGCTTGTGCAATAGAACTGCAAGGGCAGGGCTGATAAACAAGAGCCAGGTGATAAATTAGGGCTGGAAGGGCCAAATCATCTAGTGAACTGATTAATCAAAGGCACACTGGAACATCCAAGTTTTTAGGTCTCTATGGAAAGTGGACAGGGTAGATGCTAATCTGATCTCCCTGGAGAAAAATTTCCAGAACCAGGAGGCCACCACCAAGAAGGCCCTCTCCTTTGTCCCCTTGTCCCCTTGTGACGGTGGTGGGAGTGAGAGAAGGGCCTCCCCAGCAGATCTTAAAGCTCGTGGTGGTTCATAGGGGAAGATGCAATTGCGAAGATAGGCTGGACCTGAACAGATTAGGGCTTTGTAGGTAATAACCGGTGCTGGACGAGTGCCTGGCCACTGTGTCTATCTGGATGAGGAGGAACAAGCTGAAGATCAATCCCGACAAGACAGAGGTCCTCCTGGTCGATCGTAAACCTGACCGGGGTATAGGATGGCAACCTGTGTTGGACGGGGTTACACTCCCCCTGAAACCACAGGTCCGCAGTCTGGGAGTCCTCCTGGATTTATTGCTCACGCTTGAGGCTCAGGCGTCGGCGGTGTCTGGGAGGGCTTTCGCAGAACTAAGACTAGTGCGCCAACTGCGACCGTACCTCGCGAAGGCTGATCTGGCCGGGGTGGTCCATGCCTTGGTCACCTCTAGGTTGGATTACTGTAATGCGCTCTGCGTGGGGCTGCCCTTGAAAACGGCTCAGAAATTCCAACTTGTCCAACGAGCATTAGCTAGGATGTTAACTGGTGCTTCCTACAGAGAGAGGTCAACCCTCCTGTTCAAGGAGCTCCACTGGCTGCCATTTATCTTCCAAGCCCAATTTAAGGTGCAGGTGCTTACCTATAAAGCCCTGAACGGTTTGGGACCAGCCTACCTGCATGACCGCATCTCCGTCTACGATCCCACGCGTTCACTACGCTCATCTGGAGAGGCCCTGCTCGTGATCCCACCGGCGTCGCAAGCACGTTTGGTGGGGACACGAGACAGGGCCTTTTCCGTGGTGGCCCCCCGTCTCTGGAACACTCTCCCCAAAGATCTTAGACAGGCCCCTACATTGGCAGTCTTCAGAAAGAACTTGAAGACCTGGCTGTTTCGATGTGCCTTTCCCGATTAGGAAATCTTCAATACCAAGTCCCAGAAGCACTTTATTAGAATTAAGACTGCCGCACACTGCACACTGAACTTGCCCTATAATATCACCTGTCACATCAGCACTTTTCAATCCTGTACCCTTTACTCTGGCCCGGCCCAGTTTTATCTTGTTTGATGTATTGTTTATTGCTTGTGGTTTTTTTGTTTTAATACTGCTTTAATTGTTTTAATTTGCTTTAAGTGTATTGTTATGTTGTGTATTGAGGCCTTGGCCTTTGTAAGCTGCATTGAGTCCTTCAGGAGATGCTAGCGGGGTACAAATAAAGTTTAATAATAATAATAATAATAATAATAATAATAATAATAATAATAATAACCTCCACCTTGAATTGGGACCGGAAATTTATCGGCAGCCAGTGGAGCTGTTTCAACAGGGGGCTTGTCCGTTTCCTGTAATTCGCTCCAGCTAGCAACCTGGCTGCTGACTTTCATACCAATTGCAATTCATGGGCTGTCTTCAAAGGCAGCTCCATGTAGAGAGCATTGCAGTAATCCAATATGGAGGTAACTAAAGCATGGACCACCGTGGCCAAGTCAGACTTCTGGAGGTACGGTTGCAGCTGGAGCCTAAGATTTATCTGTGCAAAGGCCCTCCCGGCCACCACCAACACCTGAGCTTCAAGCATCAGCGCTGAGTCCAAGAGGACCCCCAAACTGCGTACCTGTGTTCTCAGGGGGAGTGTAACCCCGTCAAGCACACGTTGCCACCCAATACCCCGACTGGCCTCACGACTGATCAGGATGACCTCTGTCTTGTCTGGGTTAAGCTTCAGTTTGTTAGCCCTCATCCAGTACATCACAGCGGCAAAGAACTGGTCCAGGTCTGGGAGGCTTACTTGGAATTTGGTGGAAAGGAATAGTAGAATTGAGTGTCATCTGCGTAGAGATGACACCGAATTCCAAATCTCCAGATAACCTCGCCCGGTGGTTCCATGTAGATGTTGAATAGCATGAGGGATAGAATGGAACCTTGTGGGACCACACAAGTCAATGGCTAGGGGTCTGAGCAGGTGTCTCCCAGCTTCACCAACTGGGTGTAACCCTCCAGGAAGGAGCAGAGCCACTGCAGTGCAATACCCCCAAGACCCATTCCAGAGAGCTGCTCCAGAAGGATACCATGAGCACTCTATCTGGAGGTCAGCTGTGACCAGCAGTGCTGTGGAATTTGAAGAGACATGAATGGAGGGCAAAAGGGAGAAATGTGCCAAGAGGAAGGCACATCAAGCTAACCCTTATTGGAACCCCCTTCCACCTGGAAACCAATGTCCTCACTATGGAAGAACATTCGGGTCAAGAATAGGGCTCCACAGTCACCTACATATTCACCTCCAAGACACTAAACGTGGAAGGCCACCATACTCGGACAACAAGGGATCGCCTAAGTAAGTAAGTAAGGTAAAGGTAAAGGTAAAGGTAGTCCCCTGACATTAAATCCAGTCATGTCTGACTCTGGGGTGTGATGCTCATCTCCATTTCTAAGCCGAAGAGCCAGCGTTGTCCGTAGACACCTCCAAGGTCATGTGGCCAGCATGACTGCATGGAGCGCCGTTACCTTCCCGCCGGAGCAGTACCTATTGATCTACTCACTTTTGCATGTTTTCGAACTGCTAGGTTGGCAGAAGCTAGGGCTGACAGCGGAAGCTCACGCCGCTCCCCGGAATCGAACCTGCGACCTTTCAATCAACAAGCTCAGCAGCTCAGTGCTTTAACCCACTGCGCCACCAGGGGCTCCGAAGTAAGTAAGTACGACTATCAATATTTTTCCCCTGCTCTAAAGATCTAAATACCTGCTTGTTTTCAAATCTGGTTCTTCTAAAATAGAACCTAGATGCAGCCCTTTCTTACCTTTTTTGAACTCATTAAGCATAGCATCCAGTTTGGTATTGTGAGCAACAAAATGGACCGGGTGGTTATAAAACTTCGTGATCGTCTTGAGTGGGGTCTTGTCGTCAGGGTCAACAAAGGCTAGATCCTTAACATAGAGCATATCCCCAATATTAGAATAATATCTGTCATAGACGGGGATGCGGGTATAGCCACTCTCCATGATCTCTGTCATGGTGTCAAAGTCTAAGACGGCGTCGCTGCTGATCAAGTAGCAGTCTTCCAATGGTGTCATGACACATTCCACTGTCTTAGACCTCAGTTCAAGGGCTCCTTGGATTATATTCAACTCTTCCTTCACCAGGTCGTTGTAGGGCTGTGTCAGTTTCAACATCTCCATCAGTTTCTCCCGGGTGTATACGGTGCCTATTTCTTTACCAAGCACATAGTCCAGGATTTTACTGAGGGGATAAGAGAGTGGGAAGGTCAACAACATGAAAAGCTTGGTAAGGGGGACAGTGTGGGCACCTACTGCCAGGCCATGACGGGAGCAAAGGGCTTGTGGGATTATCTCTCCAAAGATGACAATGGCAAGGGTCGAGATCGAAATAGCCACCATGTTTGTGCCAACAAGAATGTCGGACAGTATTGTAAGAGAAGCGTTGACTAAAACATTACCTAGCAGCAAAGAGCACAGCAAGTAATTGCCCTTCCTACGGAGGGGCTCAATACGGGCGGCGTATTTTTTCTCCTTGGGCTTACCGCAATTCTGCACGATACGCAGCTCCATGGGATCCAGAGCCATCAGGCCCAGATTAAGCCCACTGAATATACCTGAGAGTGACAAGAGTACAATCATTAAGATGATAATAAGCCAGAGGGGGAGCTCCAGTTTCACGTCCTCCACCACTTGGATGAACAAATTGTGCCTGTCAACCGGCTGCTGTGACTGCCCAGGATCTTTTTCAAGGCATAACACATAGCTCTTGGTGTGGACGTCCCTGCGCAGAGTCTTGACCACAATGGTAAGTACTGCAGATGTTTCCTGGACGTCTTGACTGAACGGTTGCACCCGCAAGTCGTTGCTCTTCTCAAAACAGGAGCTATCATTAAAATTGTGAAAATCAGGCTCTGCTGTAGCCAATTCAGAAAAATAGACAATCTCCCAAGTAGATTCATGGATGCCCTGGCCAAAGATTCGAAGCTGGATGACACTTCCCTCCATCACTTGGATGACTCCTTTTATTAAGTGTACAGCTCCTGGCTTGGTACTGCTCTCCAACCTCATGCCGATAATTACTGTGTTGTTATGTTGTGGCGCTCCCTTTCCTGCACTAGCTGGCTGTGAGAAGGCCAACAGGAGCAAGAATAACCTTAACAACATCAGTCCAAATCTGGCCATCTTATCCCTTCTGCTCAGACAAATGCTTCACTGTGGTATCAGTATCATTGAGCAGCATGTTTATTCTTAGTGTCTATGAGGTAATGCTTCCATCACTCTGAGCTAGAGCAGCACGTGTCACAAACCCACCTCCAATATGGACACACCCACCTCATTTGCATGTCACATTCTTACCTGGTACCTATACTACTCCATCTCTAAAATTCTTTTGAAGAAGATCCATGATCAAAGTTAACAACACTCAACAGGGTGTTGTTTTTTTTCATGTCAGGAGCGACTTGAGAAACTTCAGGTCACTTCTGGTGTGAGAGAATTGGCCGTCTGCAAGGACGTTGCCCAGGGGACACCCAGATGTTTTGTTGTTTTTTTTAATAGTTTTTAATTAAGTTTTCAAAAGTACAATATTAAAATCACAAATGTTAAATTAGGAAAGAACAAGAAAAAGAAAAAACAAACCAGCCAACCAACCAACAAACAAACAAACAAAACACACACACACACAAGTAACAGCTTACAAAAAGACACCAGCCAAGACAAATGGCAACAAGTGAGTTGTTAAAACTTCCACTCTTCTCTATCATGATATTCTACAAATACACTTAATCCGTTCTTCCGAGTTTTCCTATTCCTATTTGCGAGCGTCAGTAGTTTTCTATTTCTTTCCTTTTTTCTTCTGTTCTTCTGATCTTTTACTTCTTCTTTTATCTACATTCTCCCTTTCCTTTTTTTTAAAATTATTTTTATTAGAATACTTTTTCAGAATAATACAAAATACAAAGTACAGCGTATATACAAAGAGAGAAAGGGGGGGGGTTCACTATACATTAGAGTTTAAAAGACAGAGGGAGGAGGGGAAGGGGGGAGGGGAAGAAGGGGATTGAGGAGGGGGGGAAGGAGGGAATGGGAAAAGAGGTAAGATAAGAGGGGGAGGAAAGGGGCTAAGGGGACATGGAAGTTGAGGGGGGGGAGGAAAAGAGTGACTTCCTATTCCGTTTTCACCGCGTTCTCGGTTTGATTAACTTAGTGCGATCTGAGGCCTATCCCTTTAGGCTCTAAGTTATTTCTTGTTTAGGTTTCTCTCATCTCGCTATGTTTCTTGTCTTCTCCTAAAAAACCATTTAGTAGGCTCCAGTCCGTCCTCTTTAAGGGACGGCCGTTAGAGTCTTTCAGAGCATAAGTTAGCCTATCCATTTCTCTTATCTCTAATATTTTGTCCATCCATTCTTGTTCRGTTGGGATTTCTTTTAATTTCCACTTCCTGGCAAAGACTATTCTTGRGGCCGTCGTTAGAAAAGTGGAGCAGTATATCTTCGTTTARGCCTAATTCCCATTCSTCTTTGAATATACCTAARAGGTAACACTCCYCTCTCTCTTTYATCCTAATTTTCAGGATTTTTTCYCAGGTTTCATTTACTCCTTTCCAATACTTCTGGGCTWTGGGGCWTGACCACCATTGGTGGAAGAAGGTGCCTACTTSATCTTCACATTTCCAGCACTTGTTGCTTSCTTTTTTGTACATCTGTCCCAYTCTCTGGGYCYTCARGTACCAGCGATGGAACATTTTGTACCAGTTTTCCTTTAGWGCTATGGCYTAGGTATACCTGATCTTTTTCGTCCATARTTGTTCCCACTCATGTAAYCTTATCGGTCTGCRGATGTTCCTTGCCCACTTGATCATGCATTCCTTGACTTTTTCTTGTTCTGTTGCCCAATCTAATAGTAAATTGTATATGGATGTGATATTTTTCTTGTCTTTTCTTAAGATCTTTTCCCAGAACGTATRTTTTTCCATGAAGCCCCCTTTTTGGTCTCTGTTGAAATGCTCTCTTAGCTGGAAATAATGGAGCCAAGAAAAGGAGTTGAAGTCGTTGGCTAGATCTTCTTTCGTTCTTAGTTGGCATGATCCTTCTTTTTTGGTGGTTGAAGTCCTGTATGTAGGCCATTTCTTCCAACCTAGCAGTCTTCTTTGATCTCCCTCTAGGGGGGATAACCACAAGGGGTTTTTCTCTGTGTACAGGTTTTTTTTGTATTTTTCCCTACATTCCCCCTTTCCTACTTCTTCTGATTATTCCTTCATTTCTTTCTTTTCCTTCACTCTTCTCTCCTCTTCTCTTTTCTTCCTCTTTTCTTTTCTTTTTTTTTTCTCGTTCCTCATATTACTTTGACTTGTTGATCTAATTCCTCTTCCTATTTAATCTGGTCATATCAATATCTTGACCTTGTTTTCCTTTAACCAATCTTTAACTGGATTCCAGTCTGTTGCTCTGATGGGTGTGTTTTGTGCACAAGCCAATATGTATGTTAGGTGGTCCATGTTCATAATGTCCAGTACCTTTTCCATCCATTCTTCCTTTGTTGGTATTTTGTTTTGTCTCCATACTCTCACCAGAAGGATGCGGGCAGCTGTTATTAGATAAGTAAATAATTTATCAGTGTTCTTGTCCCATTTCTTTGTAGTTAGTCCTAATAGATAACGTTCTGGTTTGAAAGGGATGTCACTTTTCAGTATTTTCTGTATTGCTTCCTGTATTATTTTCCAGACACCCAGATTTTTTTGATGTTTTACCATCCTTGTGGGCTTCAGCTGGTTATCTTTGTAGTAGCTGGAGAGATCTTTCAAGGCATTTGTAAGTTGGATTTCAACTGTTTCAAAGACTTTTGCTTGTGTTGTTAGGCCAACCAGATGAAGCCTGACCCTGCCAAGACACAAGTGTGTGCTTTTCACCTACGCAACTGTGAAGCCAACAGGAAATTGAAAGTCACCTGGGAAGGTCAAGAGCTTGAACATTGTTTCCATCCTAAATATCTCGGTGTCACCTTAGATCGAACACTAGCATATAGGAAACACTGCTTGAAAATGAAGCACAAGATAGCTGCATGCAATAACATCCTGAGGAAACTTACTGGCAACACATGGGGGACAGACCCAAAATTAATAAGAACATCAGCCCTGGCCTTGTCTTACTCAACCGCCGAGTATGCCTGCCCTGTTTGGCATAGGTCTGCCCATGCAAAGCAGGTGAACATAGCATTGAATGAAACATGCAGAATAATCACAGGATGTCTTAAACTTACACCTGTCGATAAACTCTACAAGCTAGCTAGATGTGTGATGGGAAGTTGCTGCTAAATGTGAGAGAAATAAGGCTGAACACTGTGAAAGCCATCCACTACATGGCTACCAGCCTCCTCCCTGTAGACTCAAATCAAGGAAAAGCTTTATGAGAACTACCACTCCTCTTGGCATCCCCCCAGCAACAGCAAGGGTATCCCTCTGGGCAGCTAAACCAGGAAACCCCAACTGGATGCCCCCCCACAAGGTCTTCCTCCAGGGGCAAACCAAGAATGGGCAGCTTGGAAGTCCTGAACAGACTCAGAAGAGAAGTGGGCAGATCAAAAGACAACCTGGCAAAATGGCACTGCCACAGTCACATCTTATGTGACTGTGGAGCAAAACAGACAACTCCGCATTTGTATGCTTGTCCACTATGCCCTGCTTTATGTACAGAGGAAGAATTGTTGGAGGCTACAGACAATGCCATTGCTGTTGCCCATTTTTGGTCAGAATATATTTAGCCACCTGCACTCCTTCTATTTTTATCGGTTTTATACTAATTTATGCAATGCTTTTGATACAAAATAAATAAATAATCCTTGTGGGAGGCTTCTCTCATGTCCATGTATGGGGAGCTGGAGCTGATAGAGGGAGCTCACCCGCACTCTCCCCAGATTTGAACCTGCGACCTGTTGGTCTTCAGTCCTGCCAGCACAAGGGTTTAACTAGCCGCATCTACACTGCCATATGTGAGTTGGCTCATATAATGTAGTTTGATTGGATTGAACTGCATTATGTGAATCTATACTGACCATATAATGCGGTTTCAAACTGCATTATACATCAGTGTGGATGGGACCTAAAATCACTGGAATCTTTATTAAAATCAACTCAAGCTTCTTTCCTCAGCATAGTGAACTCCAGATATATTTGGCAGAGTGGGTAAAGTTTGTGGTTAATGCCTCCTTGCAAGAAGACAAGATTCTAGCGAGCCTAAGGGAGGCCGTCATAAAATTGGTTGAAAAACCATCACTGGACTGGACCCCACACAACTTTCGGCCAGTTTCCAGTCTTCCCTTTGTGGGCAAAGTCGTGGAATGTGTGGTGGCTCACAACTCCAGGTATTCTTGGAGGAAACTGATTATCTGGATCCATCGCAGTCTGGCTTTAGGCCAGGACATGGAACTGAAACAGCCTTGGTCGCCTTAGTCGCCTCGATCTACGCAGGGAACTGGACAGGGGAAGTGTGTCCCTGATGGTTTTCCTGGACCTCTCAGTGGCCTTTGATACTGTAGACCACAGTATCCTTCTGGGACACCTTGCAGAAATGGGTCTTGGAGGTACTGTTTTGCAGTGGCTCTGGTCCTTCCCAGAGGGTTGCTCCCAGGTGTTGTTGGAAGACACATGCTTGGTCCCTCGGCCTTTATCCTGTGGGGTCTCGCAGGGTTTGGTATTGTCCCCCATGTTGTTTAACATCTACATGAAGCCATTGGGGGAGATCATCCAGAGTTTTGGAGTTTGATGCCATCTGTGCACAAATGACATCCAACTCTATCACTTCTTTCCACCTGCTGCTAAGGAGGCTGTTGAGATTCTGAACCAGTGCTTGGCGGCAGTGACGGTCTGGATGAAAGTGAACAAATTGAAATTGAATCCAGACAAGGCAGAAGTACTCCTGGTCAGTCACAAGGCCGAACAGGGTATAGGATTACATCCTGTGCTGTGAACCTGAGCCTTCCCCTGAAGGCTCAGGTTCACAGCTTTGGAGTGATCCTGGACTCATTGCTGAGCCTGGAACCACAGGTTTTGGCAGTAGCCAGGAGAGCATTCG